AAAAGAAAAGAAAAGAAAAGAAAGGAACATGAACGGAGGAGAGAAGGGTAATTAGCTAGCTAGAGCTTAGCATGATCAACATACCTTGACTTCATCCATGTTTCTAGCAGGGTTACTTTCTATTTGCCGTTTGTCAATCTTCTTTTGGAACTCTAATAATCTCTGTAAGAATATGGTAATAAATCAAAATGGATAAAATATGGACAGAAGTTACCCAAGGAACTGAAGACTTTATAAAAATAGTTAGTACCTGATGATTTTCACATTCTTTTACACTTTGGTTGACATAAGCCAGAAGATCCTGAAGCACAAAATAATGGAAATGGCATGACAGGTGAAATATGTCACACATCAATTGGTCACGTGAAACAACATAGCGACTTGAATTGTCATACAACAACATGTCACATATCATGCAACTTAAACTAGTTACTTAAACACTAGACACTTAGACACTATACTGTCATGCAATGCAACAAGTGGTCATATCACACAATAGGTTTTGCACCATCATGTGATGGCAGCCATGTTAGATGGCAGAAACGAAAAAGAATTCAATTCCCGAGAGCAAAGGGATCTTATTGTTCTGTCATCTAACCACGGGCAATCCAAGCTGGATTATGGTGCCGGCACGTGATGGTGCAAAACATCTATATAGCAAACACTACAGAAATTCGTTGCAAGATGTTGTATGAATAAAAGCATGATACCAAAATTACCAACCTTGGTACAAGTGATTGCTCTCTCAATATCTTTACTATCTGGTAACGAACCTGCAGCAGAAGAGATCCATAAGTTATGACGATGCTATTTGAAAGAGAAATAAGCAGTTCTAAACAAATGCATAACTGTAACAATGCACACAATTTTGCAAGCGTATGACCAGTGTACTTACTTGGAGTATTTTTATTGATAGCTTCAAGTAGTAAGGGGTATTTTGTCAGTCTTTGATAACTGGTTGATATGATTTCATTCAGTTTTAGCCTTCTACATAATGGATTCATTTCACAGGCCTAACAAAAAGAAGAAAATGAAAAGGATGCAAATCAAGATTATTTTCAAATAATTATAATCTTTCAAGGTTTAAAAGACGATGAAATTGTGGTTGAAAGTGTGTTGTTTTTTCAAAGATGGCGACTGTACTTTCCTCCCTCGTAAGAGTATATATACATAATCGACATTAGATAGCATAGGGGAATTATATAGGAGAGCAAAGGCCACGAGGAAAAAATGTTCTAGGGCATTTTTTATCAAATTTTTTACTCTTTTGTATAACGGAGGTATTATCTTACCCTTGAATCAAAAAATAGTTAAGTATTTAATTTTTCCAATTTTTTTTAACCATTCACTTTTATCTAAATTAGGCTCCTGTGGATTGATTGGAAAATGTCTTTATGATTTGTTACTGAGTCAGAAAAGTGGCTACTACATTCAACAAGCCTTCTACAGCTACTTACTGTGATAAACTGAGCCAACTTTTGGTCCTTTGCCTTTCGTTGCTAGAAAAAAAATATATAAACAGTTAATAAACTTTGTAAAGGCAGCTTGGGACACCTGTGTACACAGGAAACATCCCAGGAAACCCTTATTGTCTTACATAGTAGCATCCGATTGATGCCTCTCAAAATTATCATGTAAGTGAGAATTACAAGGAAATACGAAAGAAATCAGTTTTATTTTCTTGAAGGAATTTATGGAATTTCTAGGCATTTTAGCTTTGCATCCAAGATTAATTTGAGGGTTCCTTTACCTTGAGTTGATCAAGTGCATACTTCTGATTATTACAGAATGTTGCACAAGCTTCTTTAGCCCTCTCTCCTGCTTCATTATCAAACTGGAATATCAAAAATGTATATCAGCAACATTAATAAACAACCAAAAGAAGCAGCAATATACATCTTTACCTTGGCTGTAATGTTTTCTCACTACAGACCACAGGTCATTCCCTATAGTATCATTTTTAACTTGTGGATACGAGAAGCGTAGAATTGTGAGGGGCTTGAATATGCAAATGTGTCACTCACTCACTCA